ACAGGAAATAGATGAAATCTTTAGTTGGACAGAAAACATCAAGAAGTTGTTTTCTATTCCCTTAACAAGCCCTACAATTGTCTGATTGTTTTAGGTGGATGCAAAGACTAAGAAGTCTTTATTTCGATTACGCTCTACCTGGAATGGTCTTTTTCCTTCAAAGACACTGCTTGCTCTGGACATCAAGGTCAATGTATTAGATCCAGCGTGGCCAATTAACCCCCTGCCGGCAAACCTGGACTTCTCCAGTATCCTTGCAAAACGCAAGTTCCCAAAGAAATCAGTAAGTTTGTGTGCCTGCTGCGTGAGCAGATGCTGATACGTGTAGATGTCATTGCCTGTCTGCTGCTGTCTGACAATTTAGCGTGTTAATAACAAAGTATGTGACCTCTGTACATGGGCAAGAGGATTTCCTGAGCTGAGACTATTGGATAGGTTGGGTTTTAGGTTTCAAAACTCTCTTCCAGATTGTGGAATAATGACAAAGTTCTTGGGGTTCTGTTTTTCACTTCTCTCCAAAATGCTGCCTGCCCATGATCCTCGTCTTCCATCTCTTCTTGTCGCTCACCGCAAGCCAGGCTAACTCAAATATATTTGCTCTTAGAGAAGAAGGAAGCCCAACTGTTGGAAGTAAGATCAGTTTCCTCATTAGCTCAGGCTGGTTTGATGCCACCATCAGAAGACGGGGGTTAAGCTGTGCTCTCTTACAGTCATAAGTGAAAGCCTCCCTATGTTTGATAGCGAATTATACCAAAACAAAGCACATCTAAAGTGTAGAAATACGGAAATGAGATCAGATGCTCGGCAGTTTAGTTGCCCTGAGCATGTGGAATATGTAGAAAAACTGATGCTGTGATGAGAACATGTGCCTGGGTGATGTATTTTGCGGCACTGACCTTGTATTACTGATTTTGCAGGAACACAAAAGCACAACATCTGAGCCTGAAAGAAAAGTGATGAGAACAGAGAAATCAGAAACCCAGAGTCTGAGTCCAGAACAACCACCATGTTTGCAGGCGAGGAGCTCACTAAAGAGGAGATGTGGGAGTTTATCTCCCACTTGGTCATCTCCTAAAGTAAGGAAGGTATGTCAGACAGCCCTAAGCAGCCTCCTGTGGAAGGAGGCTTATGCAGTCCTTCGTGGACCTTGCAATACCAAACTGGCATGGTTCACTCTGGGAAGGAGTTTGCCATGTATAAAATCATTGGGAAACTGGTACAAGTTCATGATTTAAAAAAACAAGTTTCTAATGGCATTCTTACCCAAACAATCCTTAAATGCTGATTTCTGCAGGTTTCTTCTGCGTCTGATCAACCTGGGCCTGAAGACCAAGCTCGGCAGAATTTCCCACAGGCCAGAAGTTGTGCTGAGAACCCTGGGGGAGCTGTGGAAAGTCCATGAAGTTGACCATGACAAGAGTGTTTAAACCAACTGGGGGGGGTGTGTATGTGGGGTGCTGTTTGTTGTTGTTGCTCTGCTTTCTTCTTCTTTGTTCCAGTTTGATTTTTTCTGTAAAAAAAAATAAACTGAGTTGTTCTAATGAAATAGACTGAAATACTGAATGAAAGGAAAAGGGAAAAGGAAAGAGCTGAGCGGATCCATGCCCTGACCATACTGGCCGAGGAGAACGCGTGCTTCGCCAAGGACGTTGTGTATCTGATTGAAGCACAAATCACCAAGGTTTTTAAATGCCACTGGCTACTACTCGTACCTGTACTGCTGGAGGGACCAGCTGGGGCAGCAGGCATGGGCGGCCTCAGGGGCTAGCAGGAAGGGCACAGGGGAGATGGAGTGCTGAGGAGCACAGGAGACAGGCAGCACGAGGTGCAGGGGTTACAGGAGGAGGAATGTAGAAGGGACAAGGAGAGACAGCAAAGTGGGCAGGGGACTCCCAGGAGGGCAAGAGCCCTCCCTCCCTCCCTCCCTGCTCGTAGTAGGAGAGGGTTTGGGACTCATCCCACCAAAAGCTCTGCGACAGCAGCATGTCTCGCAATGGAAGCCCCATGTCAGTTTCTTCTCCTTGCTCCAGGCTCCTCCATCACAGAAACTGCCCTTCCTGTACCTGACAGATTCCATCATCAAGAATGTGGGAGGAAATTACGTGCCTGCATTTGCTAGAAACTTAATTTTCATATTCCCCAGCGTGTTTGAACAGGTATGCACACTTTCAGATAAGTTCTGTAATCTCAGCAGCATTTGCTCCTGGTAGGACATACATGCTTTCCATTTGGGGTTTTCTTGTTCTGCTGCCCTATCTTTAATGTTTTACTCTTAAGAAGAAGCGACAGACACAAACTCAAAGGCAGGAAGGTCCACCTGAACTTGCGGAAGTTCTCACTTACTGAGAGGGTGACTGAGCACTGGGAGGGTGCCCAGAGCGGTTGTGTAGCCTCCTTCCCCGTTGCCTTCCAATAGTTTTGTTACTGTATTTTTTTGCCCACAGAAATTGGGCAAGGAAAATGACACTTTTGCTAGGGAAATAGTTGACAGAAAGTTTTCAGAGAATGGAATCTGAGCAATAAAACCTTCAAATAGCCTTGACACAACAATTCCACGTTCGAGCTTCTGTTCCTCAGTCCATGCGTATAGATGTATGACCTGCACTGCTTACAAGTGCTCTAGAGCAAGGTGTTAAAATGGCAAACTGTTCCTAGAGTTTCTTCCCAATACATCAAGTGTCTTGTTAGCCTAGACATTCTGTAGGAATTACAAGTTTTCAGCAAAGTAGTAAAGCCTGACTAGGAGTAATATAAAATATGATTGCAATGAGACACTCCTGCCAGAATACATTTACAGCTCATAAGTAGCTTTGCTACAGGACTGAAACAAAACTCCTTTAAGAAAGTTACTGCTTCCAATCCAGCTTGCAAAGGGGCACATATTAACATTTTAAGAGATCATGCTTTAGAGTATTTCTTCTATATTATTAACATTCAAAGTTAAGATCAAAAAACCCCATTCTAAATAGACTAACTGCTTGCAAGCAGCTGCCAATAGAAGCACATAGAAAATAAGAGTCAGCTCTAAGGAATAATAGAAGGCTGGAAATCTGACTCTAACACAAGTTTAAAAAACTCTTTTGCAAAGTTTGTTGCATAAGCCAAGCTCAGAAGCAACTTAATTTGATAAAATCCATAACAGCATATCTAAAGGATGTCAGAATTTGAATGATATAAGGAACAAAACAAAGCAAGTTTAACAATAGCTTTCCTAGATCAACACAACTTTACAATATAGACTTTATGAGTCTACATATCTTTTCTACCAAAACCTTAGTGAGAGCATTGTCTATTTTAAACAATAGCTTTAAAATGTTCTAGGCAATATTTAAAATCCACAACTAGTCCGCAATTCGTAAGAGGACTTACTTTGACTGTTGACAGTTCTTGAGTGAGTTAATACACTTGCCTAGAATCAGGAGGGAGGTGTTTATATTTCTACTCTCTTTCAATCTATCCCCTTCATTACGGGTCTTGGTACATCCTTCTGAACCAGCAAGATCACACAATGACAATCTGAAAGCAGATAAAGAAATCCACTTCATCCACCTTTGAGCATGAAGAAATTACATGCTTTTTAAAACACTTTCCTTAGATAAAGAATTTCTTGCTGCTTCCCTAAACAAGTTTCACACTACTGCCTGCCAAACTCTTCCCCAACAGGTTTCCCCTTCCCCCCCCAATTCCTTCTGAGGACTTACATGAGTTCAGGAGTACAGCAGGCTAACTGAACCCTGTGTTGAATAGAGGGTACAAGATACAAAACAGCATTGCCACCTGATGGCTTGAGGTAGAGGACCAAGTACCATATGAATTTAGAAAGTGGGGAAAACTGTACGTGCATGAGGCTCTACCAGAGAGTTCTGGGTGTACAGTGCAGTACCAGCACATCAACATGTAAGATAACTGACAACATCATAAAAGAGGGAGACTCACCTCTGAACTTACTCATTGACTCCAATCACTTCTGGTGCTCCTGAATCTTCAATTTTCAATACTTTAACTGTGAATATGCTGTGACTGAAAGAAATTTAAATCAGTAGAGAAGTGAAAATATTTTCAGCCTCCTCCACATCTGTTCAAAACACTGTTGAATCTGCCAACATATCTATACATATACCCCATCAGATACAAACTTTTGAAGAGATACTTATGTAGCACTTATTTTCCTTTTTTCTCAGACATTTAGATAGAGTAAAAGCCAAGTGCTTTTGCCTGAAGGAGACTATTTGATAGAACACTGTTAGGTTTAGTACATGTTCATCTTATTGAAGGATTGAATCCTTTTGGCTCAAAGCACTGCTAAAGGATGCCAAACCCTAAACAGAGATATCTAGACCTTCTTCCTAAGCCTAGATATCTAGACTTTCTTAAAGCTTCTTCCCTAGAAGCTTCTTCCCTAAACCTTCAAGCCATATTTTTGTGCACAAATGCTTCTGATCTGGTTCCTTTGCGTCTCCGTGTCACCTCATCTTAAAGCAAAATAAAGTTAAATTGTATTAGTATCACATCAGGATACACTTGCAAAACCAACACACACACCCAGCCTGGTACCATGCCTTTCATATCAGAAACTACCTGACAGTCCAAAGAAAGCAATACTGCCTTGTCGTACCTGGCCAATCTAAAATCAACAAGGATTAGGAAAACACATTTTGCTTATCCTCACAGATCATCCCAAATGCGTCACAAAACAAAGTGAATTACACTCAATTTGTGCACTTTGTTGGCAGGATCAGCTTCAATACTGTCAAATCCTGTTTTCCCTTCCAGTCATTCAGTTCATGCAACAGCTGCTTAATTGTTATTGTTACTATGCAATACATAAAGAGCTGAAACTATGCCAAGTTACAGGAAGCACCCTGTAAATCTCTCATGAATGAAACCCTACAATACTTAGATTTCTTTTTCTAATTATTTGCTTACTTCTTAACATTGTCTATAGAGACATTCAGAAAGGTTTAACAGCTTCATGACTTTACAAAGGGATGAGCCCAAAACTTAATTACCCTCTTTATCCTTTGCTCCCAGTGCCAGTCCCATCATCTTAGGTCCAGCTCCAAAGATCTGCAGCTTTTTCAGTTCAGTATTTCTACTCATTTCTCCTGTCTCTGCCTAAAAGTAAAAACAAGGCCACATCAGCACAAACCATCAACATCTCTCCCCTCTGCGTCTCCCTATTTCCTTTATATTCCACTCTCCCACAACATCTGCCCATCAAAAGACAGGAAACAGAGGCATGAAGACAAGATTTGCTACTCATGCAAGGTGAACAGCAAATTTGTTCAAGCAAATGAACAAATGCAAATGGAATAAAATACAGCATTTTTATCTCAGCATTTCAAATTATTTTCCATTCGCATTAAACTACAGGAAGTCACCTACGTAGCAAATAGAGAACTAGGTTTGACATTTAGCAGAAAATAAGTAAGAATGCCACAGCAGTATTTTTTGAAATCACCATGATTCAGTCAAGTGCTTGGCTATTAACACTTGGATATTAACACATACACTGTTTCAACAAGATTTCTTTAACTGCTTGTGTGAACACATGACACTAATGAGTTCCAACCTACCTCCTTAAGCTAGGATACTCTTGGGTTTATTTATGATGAAATGTTATAAGTACAACTCTGGGACCGCAGCTACCCATGCTGCTCTTGAAACCTCAAAACCAGACGTGAAAAGACCAATGTGACAACTCCAGGGCCCTGCCAGTATTGTCTCCTCAAGTGTTCTGTTAACTGAACTTCTTCCTGTTTCCCATTGCTGACCTACTTTGATTTTGCACATCACTGCCACTAACCTAACAACAAAAAGAACCTACGTGTTCTGTTGTCATCTGCAATGCAATCACCTTGGCGTTTTTATTTATGCTGCCTCCTTATACTCTGAAAACCCTTTCTAACCTGGTATAGAAGTACAGAATTGTTAGGGTTGGAAGAGACCTCTGGAGATCATCTAGTCCAGCCCCCAAAAGCTACTAAACTGTCATCATTCACAATCTTAAAAGATCTCAGGAAATCTATCCATTTTCAAAGCTAGTATCTAATTCTAAGGAGGTTATTCTTCAAGTAATTTCCCAGTGATGCTTCGTTATTTTCCACCAAAATATGGCCTGAGATACCAGTCATGAAACAAGCTCCCTTGGGGTGACATGCTTCCAGTGTTTTTAATTAATAAAAAAACTCTTAAAAAAAAAAAAGGGTTTAAAATAACATCAAATGCATTTGCAATAATGCTAAAAGAAGTAAGATGCTTCCCATTTATTCAGCCTAAATCAGCTGGTTTTCCTGCTTCTTTAACATATTGAAAGAGATACCGTTTCCTAGACATCATTATTCTAAGGAATTTTCAGCGATATTTAGAGCCCTTGTTCCCACTGAAGGGTGTATGCAGTATGCTAAGTGGCATCTTTCCAAACTCATTATTGCCTGTATTCTAATTTTGAACATTTATGAATTCTATACTGCTATTATTTTCACTTTAGCTACGTATGTTACCAACTTCGTAAGCCCACTCTGAAATGGCACACTAAGTGGCAGTTTTTTCTCACAAATTCCTCCCTTTTTGACTAATAAGCCATAAGGAAAAAAATGGCATTTTTGCTTTACAAGAAAGCCTACCACCTGGAGACTTCACAGTCCCTCAGTTCCCATTTGAAATTCATTAACAGCTTATCCATTCTCTCAACTAATAGAACCTGACAGAATCAACCCATATTACATTTCTCTGCACAGTACGATTTTCCATCATTTCAACAACAATCATTAACAATTTCCACAATTTCTCTCCTGCTATTGTGACCTAAAACAATTTTCTCAATGACACCTGAAAAATAATTTTATTATCAAATTTGCTAAGCATAAATTATTAACATGCAATAACCCCTCTTTAGTTTTACAGCTTTGACTAAAAATGCAGTACCTAAATACATTTTCCTAACTGCCCTGTCCAGACTTGGTTGAATTTCACTTAAGTGGATACAATCTATTCATGCTTAGGTAGAAAGAGATACAGTTTTCAAAGAGAACAGGTTTCACATGAAAATGGATTTATTTTTTTTAAATCAGATTCCTATGAACCTTGTGAATTGGTAATTTAGGGTGTGGATACCAAAAGCATTCAGAAGCCTTAACGAGTAGACTTTCTGTGGTGCCCTTTAAGACTGTACAGAACTACAAAACTCAAAAACCTGTGAGCACACAGAAGCAGAAATCTTGCATTCCTTGTCATTTTCTCATTGCTAACAAAAAACTTCATCACACTTTTTCACTCTATTTTTCCATATGTGCAAAATGAAGTTTATTAAACTGTGATTCTATTCTTGGCTCCTCTTTGTCCTAAAGGATGCAGTTATTTTTGTCTCTTTTACCTTTGCAAGAGAAAGTACAACCCAAAGGTTTTTCCATATGGGTGAACCCTATATAACATGATCCAGTTAAACTGCATTCACATACTTTTTCTATTGTCCTACCTTCATCAACTTTGAAACACTTGCATCCCCACCTCTCCATCCCCATTGTGCAAAACCTGAATACTTACAACCAAGATTCAAAATATTTACATGTTTGGAACATTTATCAGCATGTCCCAGAGTTCTTTTGTTTCATGTAAGTCAATCTTTCATATTTAAAAGAAATAAATTGAACTTTATTTTATTAATTCTGTTATTCTGCACTCAACCAAATTTGTAACCAAAACCAGAAAGTAGATATGCTACTCAGAATTAGGTTTTATTTTTCAGAAAATTCTCTGGATGTTAATATCCTTTGAAAAGACAGCATTTCATTGTCGTCTTATTCTGGTACTGCATTTCTCTACCAGAAATGATCATGACGTAACCTCATTAGACAAACCCCTTGCCAGTTAAAAATACGCCCTAACAGATCATCTATGAAGACATACTAGTTTTTTCTAACACACATTCACTCAAATTTAACCTTTCCTTAAGGATATTCTGTTTTCCTAATCTCAATTCATCCTACTTTTTGTTGTCCTTTTCTTTACCAGCCTTTAGTAATTTAGTTGCCCCTCTCAATTTTTTATTTGTGCTAGCTTTCTTCAGAGAAAAGGGAAAGAAAATAAAACATTGTTTATTTTTGCGCAGAATCTCTCATCAGCAAATTATCCTCTTCCTATTCAGACAATACAACTGACATTTGATTGCAGGATCCAAAGATTCCTAAGCCAAATTTCAGATGAGAATTCTCATTCCCTATTTTCCTTCATTTTTCACTTTCTCTAGAAACCAAAAAAATTGCTTTTCAAAAGTCTACCAGCCCCTTCTGCTGCTGAGGATCTTTGTCTATTTCAGTAATTTCAGATAATTATCTTCATGCGTTCTCCTTCGTCACACTTGCTAAGTAAGAGTGTTTTGGGAAAAGTACTTCTGGTATTTGGGGAAATAAAATCTACCAAGATGCAGAGGCTGGTGTAGTTATCCATGCTCACTACTACCCCAGCACTAGACTACTCAGCACTCTACATATAAACCTTCCAGGTGTTTCAGCTAGAGCAGAACGACATTTATTTAGCAGGTGTTTACATTACTGTTCTCTGCAGACTAGTCTGGTCCAGTATGCACTTCAAACAATAAACAGTCGTGTCCACAATAAAGAAGTGCACTGAAATCTGGAATAGTTTCTCAGAGCTCCCGAGATACTTAAACTTCAACCATTTGGGGCTACTGCAGACAAATCTGTTCCAGAGTTGACTTAATAGAGTTATACATAGCTTCCAACATAGCCAAAATATACTTTTGCTGGCTAGGCAAGTAGATTGAGTTTTTTCTGTATTAAAGAACTTGTTTCAGCCATTTTAATAAGTGTAATGCTTAAATGATGCCACAGCTATAGACCTAATAAAAGGCATTTCAATACATACATGCATTTCTACTTTTTCCAGATGAGCCAAGTAAAATCCCCTCATTTCTGAAATGCAGCCCCTTTAAATGAAATGAAGCAGCTATATTATACCAGGATCACCACAGAATTTTTCCAACAAGGAGAAATAAAAAGTATTGTCATTTTACTGAAATCAGCAGGAGAAAAGATCCCACAGGATCTTAACAACGTAGTGACATTTTTATACCACTGATGAGAAAAAGGTCATACTGGCATTTTCACACAAGATTCACTCAAATCCAAAACATAATTCCTCATAACAAATGACTGCTGCCGTTCCTGCAGTGTTCTCAGGTTCTCTGGATAGCTCACTAACAATGTATTATTCAAGAGATCTTCTAAGATCACAGCCTGTGACTGCTTGTGTGGTGCATTGTTATATGGCTACAGTAAATACAAATTCAGTTTCAGTAAGATGAAACTAAAAATGTAATTTTGTCTAAATGATCACATCAGAGAAAAAGATGAATGTTTATAAGGCATACTCAAATATCTCAGTGACAAGAATTATGCATTTGAAACAAACAAACAAATAAACATTTTAAGAGCATTTGGAAAAACTTTGTGGCGCTGTCCTGGGTTCAGCTGTAAGAATCATTTTTCTCCTTCCTAGTAGCAGTGCTGTGCTTTGGCTTTAGTCTGAGAACAATGATGATAACACCAATGTTTTAGCTGTTGCTAAGTAGTGCTTACCCTGATCAAGGACTTTTCAGTCTCATGCTCTGCCAGTGGGGAGGGGCACAAGAAGCTGCAAGGAGGCAGAGACAGGACACTGGCCCCAAACAACCCAAAGGGATATTCCATACCACAGCACATCACGCCCAGTATATAAACTAGGGGGAGTCACCAGGAAGGCCCAGGTCACTGCTTGGGTCAGGCTGGGCATTGGTTGGTGGGTGGTGAGCAATTTTACTGTGCATCACTTCTGTTTACTGGGTTTTTCTTTTCCCCTTTTAGCTTTATTTTTTCCTCTCCCCTTGTTATTTCCCTTATTAATATTAGTATTACATTTAGTTACTGGACTGTTCTTATTTCAACCCATGGGGTTTACATTCTGTGATTCTCCTCCCCATCCTTCTTACAGAGGGTAAGGGACTGAGCAAACAGCTTCATGGTGCTGAATTACCAGCTGCACCTAAGCCACAACAGGTTCTTAAAAGTAAGTCTGGAGTGGCATGAGGCAAGTAGTAGATTTGTTGCATATAAATTCAGCTTTTGTACATGTTCTCCTGATGGGCCAAGCAGGGAGCCACTAGACCTCAATGTAAAGAGCCTTAAGATGCAGCAGGCAATAGATATCTTTCCCAGAGGGTGAAGGCCTGCTTTAAATACTGCAATAGAAGCAATGGTGCCATCAGGACAAGCCTCCAAGATAATCTCTAAAGATACAGATTAAAAGTGGTGGTGATTCAGTTTGAATTGAGACTTACTGGGGGATATTCCCAGGATTTCCTAGTAGAATACCAGAAGTCCCTATAACATCACTAATCCAGAAGAGAAGAAATTGCTCTTCAGGAGAAAACCTGGGGAAATCCTATACAGTTTCAGCCATCACTGATCATCTCCCCACACATTTGTTTCATTTCCTCAGAAAAACCCTGTATCCAGCTTGAGATAATCAGTCTCAACAGCAATTTCCACAATTAACTTACCTATATACATATTTCCACTCATTTAACCAGAGGGCATATTTGAAAAATTTGTAAAAAGCTTCTCAAACTTTGCACAAACAGAAGCTTCAACATTATCTCACAAAGGTTTTTTATCTGTTTATAGTTTCCACAGATATATTCACTACCAAGGTACCTAGCCCAGGTGTCAATAAACAAAAAGCAGCTTTTAAGAGTTTTCAGGTAAACAATGCATCTACCATAAGCAACCCAGGCCTCAGAGATTTTCTTCTCTGCATTCTATTTAAATGAAGACTGCTTCCTGGTGGTGCTTTTGAGCAGACTCCCACTGCCAATGCTGCTGCACTGGTGGAAGGAGTTAGCATCCCCTGTAGCAGGGGTACCTGGGATTTGACACGCCTGGTTCTCTTCAGCACAACGTTCATTCTTGAAGCCTGCTTTGGGGAAGCCTGGGCATCTGAGCTGAGGTCCTCAGCCTCCACTTTTTCCTTAATATCCAAGTTTGGCTTCTGGATGCCCTAGAGGATCAGAGCACAAGACACTGGGTTGATCTACCAGGCAGTGCTAATCCTTCCATGGTTTGAATCATTCTGTTTGCTAAGAAACACGAAGGGAGAAATCACACAGCATTACACACGACGTTTGGACAATAGGCTGATTAAACCACACAGCTTCAAATAGGGACACTGTATCTCAACTGCCAGCTTACTGAAAGACATCTTTACAACTAATCGTATCTTTTGCCTTGTCCTTCTTCCCAATAGGGCTCTATAAAGAAATGGCTACCACAAAATAACTACACAATGTCACGTTACAACTTGTATGACTATTTGTCACAGGTAAATATGAGCATGGTCCTGTGTTTGTTTACACAGCCAAAGCTTCTAAAAGCATAGACCCTATGTCCTAGTTTCTTATGCAATAACAAGTAACATTCTATGTGCAGTTTGGGTCCCCACATCATACTGTGACAGAGAAGCATCTCACCATGAGGCTGACCCCAGACTGGAAGAGCTCATAGGGGTATAAGATTCTTTCATAATGAGACTTGAGTAATGACCCTGTGCCTTTTCCTGGGAGGTAGCCAAGCCGACTTGCCACTTTAGACCATTTCTTCTCTTTAGTGACTACTTCAAAGCCTCCTTTGCTGGCAACAATCTGAAACACATAAATAAAAAAGTTGAGCTGCTCACCACCTTGCATAAACCAAGAACCAATTAAACCAAATGTTAGTAAGTTATATTAAAAAGTGACAAAATTCTGAATTTAGGGCTTTTTTCCCCTGAAGGGTTTGTACTTTTATAACTAAGCATTTACTCATTAATTACCACATCTACCATGACGATTTTCCTACTAATGTAAATTGTGTAGTGTCCTAGACAGGCAGAGTCCAACAATTAAGATTTATGATGTGATGGAAAGAATACAAACCCCACCATCAAAAAAAAACAAACTGGAAAGGTAACTCTCACCAGACTTATACTTTGATGCAAAACATAAGTCTGGTCAGAAGGGAAGCCCATTATAACAGACCCCAGGCAGAAGGGAGTGCTGGAACTCAGAACTTCAGAACTATAGAAGCTCACACAAAACCCTCAGGGACTACTGTAAAAAGAAGAGAAACTGAATTCACTTTCCCATTAACTCAGTCCAGTTTTTCCACCTGACTTCAACTGGTTTGAGTCTAGTCATTCACATACAGAACTATCAATGCTAACATGTAACTAACACAAAATGAAAAATGACAGACCATTTGCCAGCATATGAGTTGCTTCCTCACTGGCTACATTTCCACTGCTTCCATTCCCTTTACAGTTTCATTGTGAAGTAACTTAAAATCCAAACAGATCGTATTTATATTATTATAAGACTGGTAGCATTTTTACAACAGTGCAGTTTTGCATTTTATTTCTTTACACAGGAGGACCAAATTTCATGCTTAACATTTCACAGACTGCTGGAAACCTCAATCCAAAACCATATTGTTACTGGAGTGAAATTCATGGTTTACTCTTAGACTGAAGTAAATTCAAATGTACAATTGTGGCAGTGATAAATCAGTTATTTCTTGTTCCTCCTATAAACAGAGCTAGCTACACTTTGATGAAACAGGAACATTACTTATAATTATTTTTCCTCATATTTATAGCAAAGTACTAGAAAAAAAACACACATTTTAAGTTAAATTATAAATCTAAATTTCAACTTATCTTCAAAATCTCCATAAGAAATTGTTTTAAAAATTATCTGTAGATGCGAAATGGCTACAGAAGCCACTAAGTAACTAAATAAGCTTAGACCAGCATTATCTGCAGTCAACTAAAATTTTCCAGCTCATAACAGTGACCCAGATACTTCCCAGTACCGCTACCACTATCATATTCTGCATATCCCAGCAATCTACCCAAGACAAGCAAAAGACATTTTATCAACCACTCCAGACTGTCCAAAAGACTGACTTCTTTCTTTGAAAATAAAATCTATTCAATTCAGATCTTTTTTACTTACCTTGAGGAATGGAAACTGACACTCTAACCTAGAAGCACTATACTATATACTTTAGTAGCATCAACTTCTAGCAATCCTTAAGCCTAGCCTGTTTTGGAAATTAAAATACTTATTCCAGAAGTTCAGATAAGAAATTCTCAAAAATGCATGTGTAAAACTTCTGGTGGAAGAGATGAAGGAGCAATTACAACAATTTGTTACAGAATTGTTAGGTCAGGAGCTCAACTGCATGCAAGTATACCACTGCCTTCCCAAAACCCACCTTAAACTCCTGCAGCTCTACCATATGTAGAAAAGGAGAACTGAAAAACAAGTGGCCAACTGACATCAGATACATTCAAGCTGTATACGAGGTAATGAATACATGCTGTACAGAATCCAACCACAGGCAACTCATTTAACTCTTCTTCACACATCTGCACATAATTTAGTAATTGTCCTTCACTGTATTTTTTTTTCCCCACTCTCTCATCTCATCTCCACATTACAGAATCACAGAATCCCAAGGGTTGGAAGGGACATGAGATTAATGCTGTAAAACAAGCCCTCCTAGTTGCTTGGCTTCTTGAGCTTGAACAAAAAAGAAGGTCCCTGTCCAAGGCCTACAATTGTTTATTCACCTTGCTCAGACCATAGAGATCCAGTATTTTTCTCTCCACCACAGGAATTTTTAAATTGGATCCTTGGAGTTCCCAGAACTTTGCTAACTGATCCAAGAAGTCCAGCTTCACTCTTGTCATTGCCTACAATAAATAAAAGAAGACAAACACGTATGTTCAAAAACAAGTGTGACAGTGCCTTGCAGTCCTGAGAAAAAAAAAAAACATGACAAGTTTTTATAGTGTCTACATTTTCAGAGTGCAACTTGGGAAGTGAAGTATTTTTTAGTCATGTAAAAAAAAGCTAGAAATACAGACAAAACCAAAGACCTCTACAAACACAAAATTATCTATGCTTTTCTCTCTGCATTTCAGATCTTACAAACCAAACTCCTACCTAACAGTCTGTTTTGAAACCAAAATGCATACTTCTGAAAAATCATCATTCCCAAGAGAAACACAAAAGCAATTATTAAAATATGCATGGGAGGGAAAGGGAGTGTTAGAAACAGTTTTTGTATATGCCTTAACGATGCAGAAGGGCCTCCTCCCTCGAGTATTTTTGGAGTACTCAAATCACTTTCCATAAGGAGACCCATTTACAAGCCAAATGATACATGACATTTTGGTGTATGAACACAGCAAGGCTTTGAGAAATGTTGTAGAGAAAAGAAAAAGCCAGGACAGAATGGAACTCATTCTGCTTTCAAGAAAGCTTCCATACATTTTTAAGTCATAAAATTAACCAGCTGTAATAAGCCTATGAAAAAAATCAGCTAATTTTAAGGCTTAAAAGGCACTTTTAAGCCAGTGTAAGGTAACTAGAGGCTTCAGAAGAGCAGTAAGTATTTTAAGAAAAAAAATCCACTGCCTGTGCAGCTCAGAAGGCTAGACACTGGCTGTTCTTACTATACAACATGGTAGCTGGCATTCATTTTAGACATTTCCAGTTGAAAGAAAAACTCTTGTGGTTATTTTGGGTAATAAAATAAAACCAGGCTTTTCCCAAAGCCGTGGAGAGTTATTTTATATGAACTCTGCCACTGCCAAGCATAAACACTGATGTGGTCTATGATTTTCTAAAGACTCCCCCATCCAGAAACCTGCCAAGATGCAAATCTCAAGCAACAAGACCTACTGTTTCCAGTGCAAACACAAAATTATATCAACAGTGGAAAAGCTCACCTCTAGTTCATTCAGCCGCTGAATTCGTGGAGTGAAACGAAAACTTTGTACTTCACATGCAAATGGAGGCTGCCAGTCCTAAACAAGAGACAGAAAGACATTTTATTGCTTCCAGAAACTTCTCCAAAAATGCACAAAACAGAACACCCAAACAGTGTTGGCGCAAACAAGCTCCCAAAGGAAAATTAAGTTTCTCTGTACAACTGGTAATATCACTTTCCAATTTTATGACATTCTTGTGCTTTTAAAATAATGTTCTTCCCACAGTATTTCAGTTCAAAGAAAGAGATCCTCAGAATTAAAAATATAAAAGGAAAGAAAGTTCAAAGCATTTCAGTATGCATTACCTCATACTGAGTTTAAATAGGAGAGATCCCTGTACCTTGTTGGTCATTTATTTACTTTTAAAAGAGTTCCATATATCATGCACATTGTAAAATTCTCACTGTCAACAACAACAAACACTAAATAAAGCACATTATTACACATCTAACTTCTTTCATGTTTGTCTACAGTCATTTCAATAAAGATAAGACCAGTAGGGAGTCCAATTCCTCACTAGAAATGCAGCCTTAAATAATGACTTTCTCAACAGTCAACAGTCTGTTCAATCACAAGTGCCTCCCAGCCCCATCCATCAAAACTGTGTTACAACATCAAAACAAGTATAATTCAGTTTTTTAGAAAGTTATAATAGACTGTCTGCCTGGCAGGCAACAACGGGTAAGGACACCCATTCCAGGTGGACAAGCCCCACTAAGTATTTATTATTTGCACTGCTACAGCATAAAAAGGCCTCAAGCACAATCGTAAAATATTTACAGATTCTAATAATGGAAAAGGATAATAAATCAGTCAGGTTAGTAAAAAGCATCTGATTTAGTCCTTATTGCAGGTTGCAAATCAACTTGACGCACACATCCTGCAAAACCCTGCAATGCAAACAGCCAAGCAACATGGAAAAACACAAACGCATTCAACGGCCAGGAAAGTTCTAGTTATTCTCAATGAGCAGGATCTGGATCAGATCCTTATGGCCTCTCAACCTAAGCCATTCTGCTTATTTTAGAAAGGGCAGCCCCTTGGAGGTCAAGTTTTCACCATGTCATTAAACCAACTAAACAGATTCTGGCAACCCAGGCAGGTCAGAAGAAGGATCATGAAATCTAATCGGCAAACCCCATATCCAACTTGCTCTCAGTTTCATGCCTTCTTTTCAGGTTTTTTTTCCTCTCTGTTTTCAACTCTTATTTAACAGCTATATTTAAAGTTCATTTGTACTTTAATTATTAAGTAACCTTACCACCTTTTGCCAAATTGCCTGATGTTCTGGTCTAAATGGTTTACCAGGTCACAGGACATTATAAAACAATGATCAAGCCATCAGAGAGATTAAGATTCTATCTTCTGAACTGCTATGCATAAATATAATTCCCCAGCACAAACAGGTTGGCTGCACTTCTATTAGCAGTTTAAAGACTACGTTTACAACGATCCATTAAAAGGAAACAGACCTCCTCCTCTCTCTCCCCCCATCTCGGAGCAAGCGCCTGATTTCACCTACAATGCCTTCACAGCTTTCACAAGTAGTCTGTTGGCTTGTTGGGGTTTTTTAAAGCAAGAAGAGGGTGAAAAGCACCACCATGCCCTGCCAGCTTCTCACACGCAACCACTACAAAACCCATCCCTGAGATCAAGGATTATACAAGTTCCCCGGCGTCGCCGGCACGGCCACCAAGGTCTACGGAAAGCGGCACGCAAAGCCAAAAGTGAGCACCCAGGAGCGGGGGAAAAGGCTTCCTAGGCCTTAACCACTCCGACACTGAGACACGGAGCCCGCTCAGCCCTCCCGACACAGCCCCTCGCGGCCACCCCGGGCCCTGCCCCCTCCCCAGGCAGGCGGTACCTTGGGGGGCCGGATCTTGCAGATGCCGGTTTTCTCGGCCAGGCCGCGGATGCGCCCGATGAAGCCGAGCGGGTCGCTGAACTCCTCCCAGCTGGGCTCAAACACGGGGCACTCAGGCGGGGGTACAAACTCGGCCGCATAGCGCGACCCGCCGCCCCCCGACATGGCCGCAGGGGGAGGGCGGGGAGCGCACCGAGGGCCGCGGCGGGGCAGGGCGAAGAGGAACGGCCGGGGGGCCCTCAGGGGCGGCCGGCGGGGCTCAGACGGGGGCAGAGGCGCATCGTCCGGCGGCGGCTGCCAGGCGGGACGGCCGCAGGGAAGGGTAAAGGGTGGTGGAGGCAGTCAATTCCGAGTGTTGTGATCCCGTCCCTTGGGTTGCTTCCCCCCTCACCGAGCCCCTCTCAGTAGCTTTCCAGCCCGCCGGAAATTACGCGTCTTTCTTTGAGCCCTCCCCCGGAAGTGAGATGATGTGTTGCTCTCCGATCCAAAAAGTAGTCCCTCCGCCACGCCGCTAGAGAGGCGGCTGCCAGCGCTGAGGATCCGGCCACCTCCCAGCCGCGCCGCTCCCGGAGGCACTCCTGCCGCATCCCCAAGACACACACAGCTCGGCCCACCGGCCCTCAGCGCACCCCACGGCGCGGCAGGGGGGAACGAGGGCAGTGCCACCTCCCCTTCCGCCGCGGAGGAATGTGCGAAGAAACCTGAGACATTCACTTCCGGTGCTGAAGAGCCAGTTCACCCATTGTCTGAGCCGGACGTCAGGAGGAGGGCCGGGAGCTACGCCCCCTCCTGCAGGCCATGCCCACGAGCCGAGGGGGTGGCCTGCTTTTACTTCAGGGGTGTGGGAGTGGTTTGGTCTTAACTTCTCGGCAGCTGTTGCCGTATTTTAACGTCGTTTTAAGGAAATAGTATTATATTTAACTTCAGCAGAAAATGAGCCGTCAGCGCGGTGGCGGGGCCGCAGGGCTAGCACCGGAGGCCTCTGCTGTGTGCCTGCGGGGAAGGCCCGCAGTTGTGCCCCTGCGAGGCAGCTGTTGGTGCTGCTCTTTGAATTTAATCTCACTTAAGCGGTGCTGACGCCGCTCAGCAGGAGCTTCTGTTGGCAGCTCCCCCATCTCTGGCCCAGCGGTCGCTCTTGCTGCTTCTCCATTAAAGTCTCCCAAGTCCTGTCAGTAACTGGTGTTGTGTGCAAGTTCTCCACAATCAAGCTCCCAGCCTCTGCATTGTGTATACTCTGCTGATCTCCCCATATGGGATGTTTTATTTTCAAAGGAGGCATTGGAACTAGATGAACATTAAGGTCCCTTCCAATCCAAACCATTCTAGGATTCAAGTACTCACAAGTCGGGACTTGCTCACTACCTCCTTCACCTATCCATTACAACAGTCTTCCAAAGAGAATTGTGCAGTATTTTTCTTTAAAACCAGCGCCCTGCCTTCAGTATTCACCATACCCCATACTTATTTCTTAACTCTTTATTCCAGCCTTGGTCCTGGTGTACTATTTCAGTCTTGAGAAAAACTTAATTTCTTCCTCCTGTTACCATGAGGCTTGCAAGATCTGCTCCAGGCAGACTGACACATTTATCTGCACTGCTTCCCTGCCAGATGGAAGAAGTGCCGCCCACATTTAACATATGGGAAACAAAGGGCTCCAGTGCAAACCGGTAATTTCCATAAAAGGTTTAGGTGAGAGCAGACTGGTCTCGCATGGAGTGAATTTACCATGGGTTATTGTGCTTTTGCAATGTACTCTTACATTTTGCGGGGGGTTCCTGGTGTGGGTGCTTGATGCTTTTATGACTGTAAAAAAGCATGTGGAGCGCACATGTTTCCTTACCTGTACCTAGACATTGTATTTCTGTGTGCTTCTGCCATTTTTCTCTTTTTTTCATTTTATTATTTGGTTGTGTGTCTCTCCTGATGACAGGCCAAGACCTGTGTGTGTTCAGCCTGCAGAAGAGAAGGTTCAGGGGGAACCTTAGGGCAGCCTTCAATACATAAAGGGGGACTACAGGAAAGCTGGGAGAGGGGATTTTTACAATGGCCTGTAGTGATAGGACAAGGGGAAATGGCTGTAAACTGACAGAAGGGAGATTCAGGTTAGATATAAGGAAGAAGTTCTTTACTGTGAGGGTGGTGAGGCACTGGCACAAGTTGCCCAGAGAAGCTGTGGCTGCCCCATCCATGGCAGTGTTCAAAAACAGGTTTGATGGGGCTTTGAGCAACCTGGTCTAGTGAAAGGTGTCCCTGCTCATGGAAGGGAGTTGGAACTGGATGACCTGTAAGGTCTCTGCCAACCCAAACCATTCTTTGCTTCTTTGAGCTGCACCAGATTCTTTTGAGGAAATGCATGTGTTCATGTATGTAACATGTGTTTCCTTATATGTGTTCTATTCCCAACAGCAGAATAATCAACATAGCCACTTTCCGAGATAAGCAGTGATTTAGCCAGGAATACCAGAAGAAGGAAAACAAACCAAACTCCAGGGTAGAAAGTGCCTAATCCAAGCAAAAGCTTTGGTTTGAGAATGGGTCTTTTGCCAGTTTCCTTCTAGACTGTTCAGTGTTGCTCCATTTCTGTGTCGCTGTGTTTGGTTAGTGCAGTACCCTGGAAGACGCTGCTGGGAAGGGTGCATGTTTTCCTCACAGAGCAAGAATGCTCTCTCAAATGTCTTTCATTTTACCAGTTCTCTGAGACAGCCTTTTAGAAACAGAATTTTACACTTCTTTCTGCCACCTCTTCCTGTTTGGGGGTAGTTGGCCTCAGAAACACTGGGGCACATGGGGACTTGCATACCCCACATTAGCCTTTATTCCTTGTGGCCATCTGGGAGCATTTATCACTTCCCATACAACACACCCATGTGCTTTGAGAGCAGGTAGGCCAACCAGTGACAACACTAGCCACTCACCTGGACTTTGCCTGGAAAATTGGCTATCCTCCTATTTTCTTTGTTTCTTGAGAAAATTGATTTGAGTAAGAGCCACATAGTTTTGTAAGTAGGCCTAGATTTAACATATATATGTAAAATACAGAAAGGACAAAAAAAAAAAGAGTTAAGAAAAAAAGCCGGCTTATTAGTTTGCAGGTTGTTTCCCAGCATACCTAGTAACTAGGAAAACCTTAATTGCATGATTTGTAAGACTGCTAAGCACTGGCTGCACACAGGAAGGTACAAGGGAAAGATGAAGAACCTAAAAAGCATCTACGTGTTCTAAAAAACATTAAACGTGGTCCAAAAACCACATGTGGATATTAAGCTGGGATAGGACCCAGCTGCTCCCTGTGAATGCTCAGCAATCCCTGTCTTCATTTGGTTCATTTTCACAGAAAAAAAATGGGATATTTGAGTGTTGTTTTTCATTTCTGTCGTTGTTGATGAAAACAGTCCCCACTGCAGCGGGTATTTATTCTGCCCAGAGCCCCAACCCCTGCCATCACCAGCCCAGCGTCACTCAACGAGGGCCCCACATTTCTAACCCAAATACCCCCCACCGAGCTAGGGCCAGCGCTTCGCTCCTCCCCGCCTGCCCGCCCCGCACTCCGCGCACGCGCGGTGAGCAGCCCACTCAAGGACTACAACTCCCAGAGGCGCCTGCGAGAAGCTCCTGTCGACCGTGTCGCGAGCGCTGATTGGTTGAGGCGGTCGACGCTGCATGGAAGGTAGTCTGCGATTGGAGGAAGGGGTGGCGGGCGGCATGTTGTCTCGCTGTTTAAGTTGCGGAGGGGCAGCTGCGGCGGTTATTTTGCCGTTGGAGGTGGTTCACAGCGGCCTTGGGGCTTTAGTCCCTTGCTCCCGATGAGTCCGGCTCTAGCCGCAGAGATATGAGCTCAGTGGACCACGCCGCGGGGACCTCCCCTCGCTCCGGAAGGTAGTGTGGGGCTGCCCGACGGGCACACCGCCCCCAAACTCCTCAGCACTGGCCTTGCTGCTCTCCCCGTTCTGTCCGGTAGCCCCGCTTAACGTAAAGCACCGTTAGCCGCTTTTGTACCTGTTCTGCTTCCTCCTTCTTATGCATTTACACTTCCGTCGCTTTCCAGTTTTATTCCGATCTACAACTACCTGGAAGGAGGTTATAGTAAGGTGCGGGTCGGTTCCTTCTCTCAATCAAGAACTAATAGGATGAGAGGAAACGGCCTTAGGCTGCACCGGAGAGATTTAGATTGTTTTTTAGGAAATGTTTATTCACGGCGAGTGTTGTTAAGCATTGGAACAGGCTGCCCAGGGAAGTGGTGGAATCGCTGTACCTGGAAGCATTCAAAAACGAGGCCCTCAGTGACATGGTGTAGTGGTGGCCTTGGCAGTCCTGGGTAACGGTTGGATTTGAGGATCTTAAAGGCTTTTTCCAGCCCAGCTGATTCTGTGATTTTACTGTTTTTCAGTTCAGTAATAAAGTATTTACTTAGTGACAATGTTGCCTGTTTTATTGCTGTTATTTACTTTTCAAAGTTTGTTGTTTAAGGCACTTCTGGGCAGAGCTGGTGAGGACATTCATACAGGAAATAATTGTGTTATTGCATATTGAATACTTTCCTACAGTGCCAGGAGTTAAGGAGCTTTGCACATTTTTATGGATGTTGCATGCTGGGTGTTATCATCTAAGCAGCTTTGGTGAGCTGGGACATAAAGGTCACTGATATACAGTGTCACCTACCAGATCATGTTATGATCAAAGCTGTGGCACTGGCTCCAGAATCAGGTTCTGGACTGTTTTTGTTAAGCAGATATTTAGGAAAGAGGCTTCTTCACTTTAGTTCTGTGCACTTACAATATCATTGAATAGAAGGTGGGTTGTTGTGTTTTTTTAGATAAACATAAATCATGAACAATTTCCAAAAGAATTTTGAACTCTGCAACTCTATTCACAAATTTGGTGCCTGTTTGAGCAGATTAAGTGTTCGAACGCAGTAAACATTGCTTAAAAGAAAAATCCAATGTGTAATTACATATGCATATTCTTGATTTAGTTTATGTAACATTTGAGATCTAGTACCTCAACGTAAGATTTACGAACTTGGAAGCTTCTATTTCACTATCAAGGATGGACAAGCTGTGTGGGTAAGAACATCAAGCACACCAGAAAGGAAAGCATGGGGTTTCCTAGACCTACAGCTTATATTATGGTGGCTGGTGCGTCAGCTAGCCTGAATTATTGTCTTTGTTCATCAGTCTTTCTTTAGAAGGTGTTTTCTCTATGGGTATCAGATATGATTCTGTCACAGATTATGTCTTCCTGTTTTTCTTACAGTGGCTGCTGTTTCTAATTGCATAGCAGTGGACTTTTGGTCCCCTTTGTTTTCTCCTTTCCCTTTCTCCTTTTCAGCTTCACTCTACCGAAATAATCTGTAAGACTTTTTCTTCTATAATATTTTTCTTTCACCCTTTTCTGTTAGCTGGCCCCATCTCCACAATACAGTAAGCCTGCAAGCTGCTCTATATCAAGGCTTTTGGTTCTTCTAGATGCTGTGATCTTCTGTTAATACATGGAGCACAGGCAAGCTAATCAGTTTTTTAAATGGAACCTGAGTTGAAATTGAAAATCTGGTTTTAACTACTTTAGGAAAGGTTTTTTTGTTATATTATTGTCTGAAGCTTACATGTCATTAGAAACTTTCTGTCCAGGCTGGCAACCCCCCGTGTCTCATCCAGGCATGCTAGTTCTCAGTCTCCAAGTCAGGAGGACTTTACTCCTCTCCCTTCAATCAATGAGCGTTTGGCCTTTCTCTGTCCCTCCTGGGAGCTGCTGGAATACTACCGCAAGACGATCGCTGACTTT